GCCATAGGATGATAAATTTAGAAGGATAAAATGTAACAATTACATATTTGTGTAATTATTTATAGTTTATAATATGTTAATATAACCTATTGGGTCTTCTAACCCTAAGCAATGATCAGAGCAATATAATTATTTTGTTTTACAAATGAGAAACTATGAATTCGGAATAGTAGACTAGCAATCATTGAGGCCATGTTCATCACTTGACTTGCCCAAAAATTCAGAGCTATTCCTTTAAAAAAAACCTAAGACTAAAAAAAAAAAATAATAAAACAAACAAAATTAAAAAAACCTAAGACTAGAACAGAGGTGTCCTAATGCCTAGTCTCTCACTAGACTACACTCTCTCCCCTGTTCAGTTGTGAACTCCATGAGGACCATGAGCAAGTTTTATTCACTTCTACATTTGCAAGACCAAGAGCTCTGGGCAAACAGCAGATACTCAAGAATATTTGTTGCATGAATATTGATGAAGAAAAAAGTCCAGTGTGAATAGCATCTTAATGTTGAGAGCCAGGATAATATCTTAGAAAGAACAGTATACTTGAGATAAAAATATCAGACACTGAATCCTTTCTCTGAACCTCACTGACAGTGAGACACTGAGCAAGCTCATTTAATCTTTATGAAGTCAGTTTCCTTACTTTTAAAAATGGAGTTAATAGTAATGCTTTGACTTAACTAACAAAAATATTATGAGAGTTCAACAGGGTGATGATTATGAGTGTTATTTAAACTTAATAAGCACTAATGAATTTACAGTATCATTGAGATATTGGTAAGAGCTTTCTCATTTAAAAATGTTTAAATCTACTAAGTGGTTGTTTTGAGGTAAATTATTAAAAATCTTTAACTTATGTTTAGATTTGGTTCATTCCGGTGATAGGCCAGGAAAATCTAAGCAAGCTTTGCATCTATTCATCCATTGAAACAATATTTATTGAGTACCTACTATGTGCCCTGTACTGTTCTATGCTCAGGGTATATATCAGTGGACAAAATATATATTCCTGTCCTCTTTAAGCTTACATTCTAGTGGTAGATATACAGATAGTAAACATTAAGCATAGCAAATAAGTAAATTATTAAAACTTTAGAAGGGGATAGAAGCTATGCAAAAATAAAGGAGAAAAGGCAAGATAAAGAGATTAGGCATACTTGGTAGTGGGTTGTGTTTTTGAACAGAGAGGTGAGGCCAGCCTCAATGAGATGGTGACATTTGAGAAAAGATTTAAAGGAGCCAAGAAAGTAGCAATGTGAACAACCTAGAGGAAGAACATTCCAGACAGAGAGAATAACCAGTGCAAAGCCCTTTAGTCAGGAGCATTTCTTTTTCTTTCTTTCTTTCTTTTTTTTTTTTTTTTTGATGTAGTGTTCCATGATTCATTGTTTGTGCATAACACCCAGTGCTCCACGCAGAACGTGCCCTCTTTAATACCCATCACCAGGCTAACCCATCCCCCCACCCCCCTCCCCTCTAGAACCCTCAGCTTGTTTTTCAGAGTCCATCGTCTCTCATGGTTCATCTCCCCCTCCGATTTACTCCCCTTCATCCTTCCCCTTAGACAGGAGAATTTCTGAGAGGCATGGCTGAAAGGTCAGTGAGGGTGATGTCAGTGATTAAGGGAGAAAGGAGTAGGGGAAAAGGGGCAGAAATGTACTAGAGCCAGAAAGGGACAAGTAGGTCATTGTGAGGACTTTGGCTTTCTGGCTGAAGTGAGTAGCCACTGCAGGTTTTTGAGCAGGGAGGGGACATGATATGATTTACGTTTTTAAAGGAATACTTAGGGGATGCCTCGCTGGCTTAGTTGGCAGAGCATGTGACTCTTGATCTCAGGGTCGTGAGTTCTAGCACCACGTTGGGGTAGAGTTTACTTGGGACAAAAAAAAGGGGAATGCTTTGGGTGCCGTGTTGAGTAGACTGAAGTGGAAACAATGATAAATTAAGGAGCTTACTACCATAATCCAAACAAGAATGATGATGGCCCGCATGGGATGTGTTCCCAGGAAGGGTGGTGAAGAGGGTTGGGTTCTGAGTATACATGTGTATTGTAAACATGCAGGCACAGACATTTAATGATGGATTCTGAGAGAGGCGAGAGAAGAGAGTCTTGGATGACTCCAGAGGTTCTGGCCTAAGCAAGGAAAAGATGCAATTGCCATTAAAGGAGATCGGGACGTTTGGTAGTGGTGTAGGTTTGAAGGACAGATAAGATGTTTAGTTTTGGAGATGTTAAGTGTGAGACATCCCAGTGATTAATTTGAATAAGCAGTTGTGTATAGGAGTCTAGTATTTAGAAGAGACTTACAGAAGATAAACATTTTATTTTTTTATTTTTTTTTTCTTTTGAAGATTTTATTGATTTATTTAGAGAGACAGCACGTGAACAGGGGGAGGGGCAGAGGGCAAGGGAGATTGAGAATCTCAAGTAGACTCTGCAGAACCCCAGGCAAGGCACAATCACAGGACCCTGAGATCATGACCTGAGCTGAAATCATGAGTCAGACACCAACTGACTGAGCCACTAGGCACACCAAGTTCAAAGATTTTTAAACTGTAATTAATTTTTGCTAAGCAAGAGTCTGTCCCAGTACATTAACGTGGCAAAATATTTTCATTCAGAAATAAACTAGTGAATACCAAGTACAGAGTTTTCTTTTGGCAAACAAACAGCAAGACCAGAAGCTACCAAAGAAGAAAACCGAGGAAGAAAAAATAAAACTGAGGCCACAACACAATACAAATGATGCCATAAATGGGACAAATGGGAACAGACAGGCAAAGAAGGATCCAATGAATGAGGTAACAGGATGAACAAGAAAGAAACTGGAGAAAACGGAGAATTTATCAATATGGCAGTACAATTCATGGGATAAGACCAGAGGTTGGTGATCACATTGTGAGATATAGGTGATGAGCAGAGGCAAAGGAAGAACAAGATGGGAAGAGAAAGGGGGAAGTAGACTGAGAAACCATCCAAATCTCCTTGGGTTGGCAAATTTTAACTGCCTCTCTGGAGAGGAAGAATTAATGTTTGAACAAAATTCTGCTTACAAAAGCTTTCACGTATCTAATTTTGCATGCAGAATACAAATGGCTGATACATTTATTTCATAAGTCTACCATTGTAGTAATAATACATTATCAAGTAAATACTCCAATAAGAAAAGAACAGCAAGTTGAGGGTTATAGAAGATAAACATTTTAAATATGGACGCCATTGAAAGCCAAGAGACTGGCTGAGAACACACAGAGTGAGTACAGTTGGGGAGGAGAGGAGCAAGGGTTTTGGGATGAGACATGGCAAGATTCAGAGGTCAGAGGGCAGCGGCTGGATGAATACAGCAAAGATTCCAAAAACGAGCAGGGAGTGAGACATGAAGCTCAGGAAATGAAGTATTCCAGAAGCTAAGTGAAGAAAAGCTCTCGAGGGTAGAAATGGACACCTAGGTCAAGTGCTGCTCATAGGTAATGTGAGGAAATTCCTCAGAATTAACAAGTTTTACAAATGTTAAGGTCATAAATAACCTCAGCTAGTTTTGTGGCAGGAAAGAGCTGTAGGAGAAGTGTTCTTTGGGAAAGTCAGGTTGTCCAGAGAGCCGGAAGGTAAAGGAGCCCATCAGAGATGGGTTTTAAGATACAGGCTAATGATGGAATTCCAGATGGTAGAAAGAGTTTTAAGAGTTGGGGGGAGTTGGGAGGAGATAAAATGGGGGGTGCATGGAGACCTGTCAGATTTAGAGTCTCAGAAAAGGTGGGTAAACTGAGAGTCTGAACCTTCCTGCAATGAAAACGTTATTAGGGGAAAAATGGATGCAATCAGATTAAACTTAATAGGCTCACCGAGTTAGTGGTGGTGAGGCTACAAGTATGGAAGGTGAAGCAAGGGATGGCTTCTGGATCGTGCTCTTGAGTACTGTTATTTGGAGCAAAGGTGTTTAGGGAAGTGTCATTTCAGTCCTAATGCACTTAGTCCTAGACACTTTTTGTTGTTGTTGTTGTTGTTTAAGATTTATTTATTTATTTTAGAGAGAAAGAGAGAGAGCATGAGCATGGGGAGGGGCAGAAGGAGAGGAAGAGAGAGAATCCCAAGCAGACTCTGCGCTGAGTGTGGAGCTGACACAGGGCTCAATCCCACAACCCTGAGATCAGGACCTGAGCTGAAACCAAGAGTCAGATGCTCAACCAACTGAGCCACCCAGGCACCTGTAGACACTCACTTTTGACCTCTGTGGATGAAGCTGAGGATTTCTGGGGAAGGCTGATGTTGCCCCAAGCACAAAGGCTCCCTTTAACAAGGTAAAAGACCTTGGGGAAATGTGCATTTATATGAAGATGATAGAATCACATTCCGTAGATTCCCCTGCCCCCCACCACTTCCTCCCTTTTCCATTTCTTGCCCTATGCAAAGGAAGGGAGAAGCAAGGAAGTCTCCCTGCACATATACCCACAGGCCCAGTACAAAGGAGCAGGCAGTACATGAAATGCACACCTCACATTCCCAGCTGCGCTGTAGCAAACAGATGAGTATAATCTTGCTTTTAAATTTTTTCTTTCAGCTTTTTAATTCTAGCCAATTGAGAGCTTTTGATTGGGGCAGTCCTGTTCTGAACTTGCTTCATTTTAATCAGGTACATAATTATGTATTAGCTAAAAACTATCTCCTTGATCCGGTTCAGATGATGTTGCTACAGAAAAAGGCTCATGTAAAGCCCGAGAGTATAATAACAGAGTGAGAAGGACCAGCAGATGAAGATCGCCATGATTTGGCTCCATATTGTCACATCCAACCCAAGGGGATTTTCCAGGTTTTCTACGTGTTTTAACAACAAATACCTTGGATAAGCCTGGAGAAGTTTGACAGGCTGTAGAGTAATTCATCCTCCCTCAAGAGGAAAAATATTGTGTTTATAATATGCGTAGCTCTGTGCTTAGTTAAATAAGAAATAAAAGGCATAATATGGTTCTTGACCCTCAAAAGCTATTGACTGTATTTGGGAAGATAAGACAAACCCTCATTCCACATAATAGAATTTTCCTCATTCCACATAATGAGGAAAAGATAAAAGTTAATGAGAAGGTGGTAATAATCGTATGAGGAGGATGACAGAAATCTTGAAGTATTAGAACCCAAATCTGTCGTCTTCAAAGTTATTCTTTTCCACCATCTTTTTCTGCCTTAGCTAAACTTCATGCCTAATGTGGTTAGCTTATGTAAAACTCCAGAGTAAAATAGAAAGATCAAAATCAATAAAATCAGATTTGGGTTCAACGGCCAATGTTTACCATTTATTGATGAACATATTGGCAGTTATACAGCCACGGAAAATTTTGATTAAAATACTTTCATGCCTTATAAATAAAACTGAAATTCCCTCTGAGGAATGTTTGAATACCCTGAATTAGAGCAAATGGTCTAGTTTTGATTTGTATCTGATCTATTTCTAAGTAAAAATCATAATAATGATTCTTTCAATATTCATTGCTTTTACAGTAGTAATTATTTTAGATTCAGCTTATTTTAAAATTGTATTAATTCATCATTTAAAGGAAAGTAAAGAACACCTTTTATGTATCATTTTCTGTGAAAACCCTCTTCATTTAGTCCACTTCTCCATTTTACGACGTGAGAAACATGAACGTATCAACAGCAACTTGGAATGGGGGCAATGACTTGTTGGCCGATCCTGAAGATGTGAAAAATCTACTTCCTGAAATTACAAACCACATTTACCACAAAACTGTTTCTTACTACAATCATATAGACTTTTTGTTCGGATTAGATGTGTATCAGCAAGTTTACCGTGAAATCATTGGCATTATCCAAGGCAATCTATAAAGAACTATGGTACTCTGTGTTGAAGGATCTATATCGTTTCTCTTAAAATCCAATCACTTTTTTCTTGCTATGCATGTTTTCCCAGTTATTTAAATAAAATCTGGAATTTTTCCCTATTTTTTTCACTGCCCCAGGCCTTCCATTCATTAAATCAGTGGCGTTTATTATATGAGGGAAATGGCAGATTCTAACTCAGCCCAAAGTAGTCTGTTGGGTGTCTCCATGCAACATAAATAACTAAAAGCATAATTTTAAAAGGGATGACTTTTTGAAAAGGTGCTTTCTTTTCTTCAAAGAAATATGAGTATATATGATATTAAAAGAGTTTGGGAGAATGCTTGCTGATATGAAAGCTAATTTTTCTCTATGCTGAATGAAGAGTAGAAACACTTTTGTGCTATGTAAAGGAGTTTGGGGGAAGAAAAAGGGAAGAGAGAGAGAGTTTGGATGCCAATGTAGTATTCCTGCTTTTGCCCCACTTCCGGCCAAGCTTCAGAAGTAGGGAGATCGTAAAAGCCATAAAGGGTTTGTACCTCACTTCCCAGGGTGTATAGCCTACCTTTCCAGCAAATATGTGTAAAGAGTAGCAATGGTTGTTGGGGCGCCTGGGTGGCTCCGTCGGTTAAGCATCTGCCTTCGACTCTGGTCATGATCTCAGGGTCCTGGGATGGATGGGCATCAGCAGGCGGTACAGGGTACATCACATACAAGGACTTAGACAATAGTCTTTCTGACTCCTCCATAATGCATAACATCACGGGCTTTTCTTAGTCCCTGAGGACAGCAAGATGAAAAGGGAGAGTTCTAGAGTTGAGTGTAAATTTACCACATAAAGACTGGGGAAGAAAATCTATAATTTCTTGAATTGGGAAATTAAGTTTCCTGCCCCAAGCAAAATGGAGGTTGGAAGCCAAGCCAAGTCTGGTTCGCTCTGAGGTTGCTAACTCTGTGCTCCACACATGCTTATGGGCTTTAAAAAGCGTTCTACAAAAAATAATGGAATATGCATAGATAGTGAGAAAAAATAAAATCTATCCATAGGTTACTGGAATGCAGCTAAGAGAAGACATATGACTTTAAAGGCCACAGTTCAGGCTACAGCTCAGTCCTTCTTTTCTTTGGTAACCCTTGGTACCAAAAAGTAGAGCACTGAGAATAGATACACACTTAGAGATGTCTTTTTAAAGAGTTCAGGAATGTGTATATAGCATAAGTATTGCTTCAAAGTTTTCAAATGATCCTTCAAAAAAGACAAATTTGGAGGGTAACTATGCAGAAGAATTACTCATGCTGAGATTTAAAAAATAAGTTGGAGTTTTCTGGTAATGGTGGACTGAGTAATTCAGACCTGAGACAATGTGAAAAGCATTTATTTGAAGACAAGGAGAGCTAAAAATGCAAGGAAGAATTACAGGGTCAAGAAAAAGAAGTCCAGGAAAGTAAGTCTAGCATTTTAGCTGTTTATATCCTAGAAACACCTGCTTTGTCCAGGTGTATAATTAAAATCCTGCAAACAATTAGTTGAGAATAAAAATTGTAATTCAGCTTGCCAAAGGGAAGTTTCTCTGATAAACCTTGATCTTCGGGCTTTGGATTGGAACCTCAAAGTACTATACCCTAAGAATAAAGTCAAACTAGAAATTGATCACCCTTTCAGAAACTGTAGACCACTTTTGAATCATAAGAATTCTTAATGTACAAAGATAATTTGGGAATACTGATGCTTTAGCCATCTGTCAGAAGCAAAAGTAAGGCTTCTCTAAAGGAAGATCAAGTCATCTAGGATGCTAGAGATAATGCTAAAATTTTGCAATGTTTCAAGGTAGGTTGGATACAAAAATAAGTTGTGTATTTATATACTAGTGTCAAATGATTGCAAAATGATATTTTAAATATACCATTTACAATATTACACACAGTTATAATACTTAGGAATACAGATAAACAAATATACTCAAGTTGAAAGACAATATTATTGAGATATCCACTCTTCAAATTTATTTGTATATTCGAAGAATTGCAATAAAAATTCCACTAGGCTTTTTTTTTTTCTGAAAATGGTTATACTGATTCTAAACTTTTTGTAGAATTACAATTAATCTAGAATTACCAAAGTAATTTTGAAAAGTGTTGGAGGATTTGCACTACAAAATTGCAAGACTTAAATCACAAAGCTGCATTAATTAAGACAGTGTGGCATTAGTATAAAAAGACATCTAGGGGCGCCTGGGTGGATCAGTCGTTAAGCATCTGCCTTCGGCTCAGGGCACGGTCCCAGGGTCCTGGGATCGAGCCCCGCATCGGGCTCCCTGCTCCACAGGCATCCTGCTTCTCCCTCTCCCTCTCCCACTCCCCCTGCTTGTGTTCCCTCTCTCACTCTCTCTGTCAAATAAATAAAATCTTTAAAAAAAAAAAAAGACATCTAGATCCTTGGAACAATACAGAGTTCAGAGATAGACTACACATATGTAGTCAGTTGGTCTTCAATGGGTAAAAGATTGTGTTTTCAAAAGTGGATGTGATTACAGAAAAAAAGATGAACTTTGACCTCTACATTACATCACACATAAAATTTAATTTGTAATGAACATAGACCTAAATCCAAAACCCAAAACTCTAAAACTTCTAGAAGAAACAGAGGAGAAATTCTTTGCAACTTTGAGGTAGGCAAAATATCTTAGATGAAACACAGCATGAGCAATTATAAAGAAAATTTTGAAAATTACAATTAAAATCTTCTGCCTATCAAATGACACTTAAAAGAAAGACAAGCCACCACCTGAGAAAAAATATATACAAAAAATATATCTGACAAAAGCTGTTTATCTGAAACACATAAAAATAACTCTCACAACTCAATAAGAAGAAAAGGAACCCAGGAAAATGTAAGCAAAAGACCTAAACAGATTCTTCACAAAAGATATAGGAATGGCTAGTGAAACAGGCATAGGGAAAGGTGCTCAACATCATTAATCATCATGGAAATGAAAATCAAAACCACAATGAGATATCACCTCACATCTGTTGGGATGACTATCATCAAAAAGTCAAAAGATAGCAAGAATTGGCAAGGATGGACCGAAAACAGAACCTTATATCCATTGTTGGTGAGAACGTAAATTGGTAGGGTCACTCTAGGAACTATTATGGAGGTTTCTGAAAAATTAAAAATAGAACTACCATATAATCCAATAACCTCACAACTGGCTATATATCCAAAGGAAATAAAATCACTATATCAAAGAGCTATCTGCCCTGCTATGTTCATTGCAGCATTATTCCCAGTGGTTGAGATATGAAAACAACCCGTGTCTATTGATGGATGGATGGATAGAGATCATCTATCTAGATGTATATATAGACATATATGTTTATGTACTAGCATCATGTTTATGTATAATCATCATTATCTATATAATAATTATATATGCATATAAAATTCAGCCTTAAAAAAGAAGGAAATCCTGCTATTTGCAAGGACGTGGAAACATGGATGAACCTGGAGGACTTTATGCTAAATGAAATAAGTCAGACAGAGAAAGACAAATACTGTATTACCTCATTTATATGTAGAATCTAAAAAAGTCAAACATAGTAACGGAGAACAGAATGTTGGCCACCACAAGGTGGGAGATGTGGGGAGATGTTGGTTAATGGATACAAAAGACCTGGAGCATGGTGACTATAGTTCATAATATACTGTATTCTAGAAAGTTGCAAAGAACGTGGATCTCAAGGGTTCTCACCACACATACAAAAGGTAACTACGTGAAGTGATAGTTATGTTACTTAGCTTGATTGTGGTCCTCATATCACAATGTATACATATATCAAAAATCACATTGTACACCTTAAATATACACAATTTTTGTCAGTCATACCTCAGTAAAGCTGTGGGGAAAAAAGGAATGGCCAATCAGCCTCTGAAAAGATTTTCAGCATCATTAGTCATCAAAGAAACACAAATTAAAATAGTACACAATATTTAATAGTCCCTAAAATAACACATGAAAAGAAAGCTATTGCTAAGTATTGGGAAGATTGTAGAATAATCAGAACTCTTATATATTGCAAAACAGCCTGGTGATTTCTTATAAAAGTAAAAATAGACTTAACATGTAACCCAGCATTCAACTCTTAGGTATTTACTCAAGAGAAAAGAAAATGCCTGAATGTTGACAACCAGTCTATGAAAATCACCATGTTAAGAGTATAACGGGGAAGTGGGGAGCCATTCGATCATTTTAATAAATGGGAAGAAGTATTTAACAGGATTTAACGTCTATTTATGACAATAACTCTTGAAGTAAGAATAAAGTTTCCTTAATCTGACAAAGAGTATTTAGAACAAAATCTACATCAAACATCATAGTTGTTGATGAAGAATCAAAAGCTTTCCTGCCGAAACCAGGTGGACTGTTATGTCCCATCACATATTCATGTCAACGTTGTAGTATAGATCCTAACCAGTAAAATGAAAAACGAAGCTCCTTATTCTCAGCTGACATGACTGAATACATAGAAAATTGAAAGGGATTTACATATAAATCATTAGAATTAATCAGTGAGTTTAGCAAAGTTGCTTTGACTTAAGGTCCGTTTAAAAAATATTATATTTATATGGACCATTTATATGGAAGCAAAACTGACACTTCGCTTCACCACTGTTGTCAATAAACACACACAGTACATCTAATGGCCAAAAAGGAAAAAAAAAAAAAAAAGGCTTTGTACCCTGGGATAAGCAAAAAAGAATTGGGTTGCTCTATCTCAGAGTAGTTCTCAAAATAAATGTAACCTTGAGTTCCTCTCATAAAATGTTGACTTTTGATAAAAAAAAAATCTTTACTACCATCTTATATAGTGCTGTTGTCTGAATAAATTTCACAATCTTTGTGGATAGGATAATTATATGAAAACACTGCTGTTTTTCCAGCATGAATGAGCTAATATAACCAATACAACCTTTGTCATCTTGTGTGTTTCTCCTTATTTAAATA